AATGGCTGGATTTTCTTACATGTTGTGTTTGAGAGTATTTGATCTAATGTACATTAAAAATGCATATAAAACTTGTAAGGAGAATATAGATGCAAGATATTTTAAATTACATTACAAGTGTTTGAACATGCGTGACTGGTCATATGTATACATCTTACCAAAACCAGCGATTTGTGTACAAAGATGTTAAATAAATATTTGGCCCCTTGATGGCCCCTTATTCAGAAAAATCCTAGATCTGCCACTGCTTACATTTAACAAGTCTAACAAGTTTGTTTCCTTGTTCTTGACACACACCGAAGTAAAGAACACAAAAGTTTTCAGCAGTATTGGATAAAAACTGCCATAATCAAGGATTTAAACATGTTTATATTATATCATGTTTATTTAATTTACTCTGCGTGCTGAAAACCAACGCAGCAGACTCCAGAGCAAGTTTACTGTTACGTCAAGACTCGTTAATAAAACTAGGTTGTTACTGTTTCTTCACAACAAATGTAGTGCCTCGCTGTGGCATCTGATTGAATCGAAACTGTGATAGTAAGAGGCAGAAACGACTCTCCGTTTGCTGTGAATGAAAACGGGCCGACTCTTGGTTTAAAGCCGACTGGAGTGAAGACATTTCAAAGCGAGCCATTCAGCCATGCTGGGCTTTGATTCCTCTCCTCCAAGAGTTTAAATAAGGGCAGTATCCATGCAGCCTTATTACTGTTTGATATCACCTCTGATCGTGCCAAAAACAGCCCACCTTCAATTTGTAACACATTTTGCATTATTGACCAAGGTCCACAGCYCTCCAATAATTTAAGATCCCGAGCAAAGGCTTCCTGTGCGCTCCACTACAGCATACTTAATGTCGTTTGGATTGAAGGTGCTTCAGTGTCTGTTGAAAACACTGGACGAGTTAAAAAAAACAGGTTTGAATTTTCTCAATGCAAATGGASTTATTTGAAATCGCGGCTCTAGGATTCAGTCCTCTGCCTCCTCGTCCCGTCTCTCCTTTTTTTTCCCCTCCTACTTTTCTCTCTTGTCCCTTCTTTCTCAATTGTGTCCCTCGCCTCTGGCAAATGKGAGTCATTTGTTTGTGTGAACTTCCCATAACCCGGCGTGTGCGAGACACTTATCATTCAGAGTGGAGCTGCATCGTTCCGACTTGTAATACCTCTTCTCTTCTTCTCTCCTCTCTCCCCTTTCCCATTTTCCCCCCTCCCTTTCACGCCAGCTCGCCGTGTGTCTGTTCCAGTTGACTTTCACCATGGTTCATCATATACGAGTCTTCATATTTCTCCCTTTCTCTCTCTCTCTCTCTCTCTCTCTCTCTCTCTCTCTCTCTCTCTCTCTCTCTCTCTCTCTCTCTCCGCTCGCCTTCAAAATCCCCGCAACCCCTTCTTCTCACGATGAACCCCTCCTTCTTGGCGTCTGTCCCTCTTTCTCTCCAATCTCATTCTGCGTATAATCTCGGGGTACACGGGACCATTTTCATTACAGCTCTACTCATCTTATCATCCACCCTGTCATCTCCTCTGCCTCCTGTCCTTTTGATATTCCTTTATTCTAACAAGTCTGCATCTCAGAGCCCATCAGTGGTCCACCCCTTTTCATTTCCCTAATGTACCCCCAGCAAACACACACACACACACACATAAGCAAACCCCCGGAGTGGCCCTAACCCCTAATTTCATTGCTCTAACCTGTTCCACATCAACATGATGTAGAGTGTGCCTCAGCTCCCAGTTCCTATGTAAATCACTGCGTGTACGTTCCGCTATTTGTTTAGTAAGCAGTTTTTCCGATATTTTTATCTGTGCGGATTATCTCAGCAAGCAAAGTAAGCAGTAACAAAATAAGAAAATCGAGACTCTGTGCAGGGGATAAAATGTTAAAAGTGAAGGACAAAAAGTTAATCTGTAGACTGACAAAAGGGCGAGACCAGTACAAGTAGACACAAGGAGGAAAAAGAGGTGGGAAAACTGTCACCGAAGGCTGAAGCCGAACCCTCAACTCTGTTTGCTTTAATCCCTCATTTATGTGAACTCAGCTTTGGAAATGAAGCTGTCACTGTTTCTTTTCTTTTTTTTTCTTGTCTTCATGCATCCTGTGGTATAATCAGAAACCACACGCAGATACAACACAGGGACAGGAAATCCACCAGGAGATGGTTTCAAATTCATTCCAGAGTTGGAGGCAGAGATTCAAACCATCTCACCTTGTCTCCAAGAGGGTAGGAATCACTGGCTATGTTAGAGGCAGAGGGGAATTGTGGGTAAATGCACTTGTGAGGAATGAAAGTCTGGATTTTCCAGCTGTAATCTGAGGTCGCTGTCACACGCCGGTCTCTTCAGCCTGAATCATCATGCTGATGCTTGTGCCCAACGTGACACTGCAAATGTTGCTCATCGTTTTAGACAAAATAATCAAAGTACCGGAAAAAAACACAAATGCTGCTCATATTGCTTACAAGGTTTTGATCATAAATTTTTTGTTGAACTGCAAACTTGAACAGTAACATGATACAATAATATATATATTTTTAAAGTAAGTCTAGTAAGTAAGTTTTTCAAAGCAAAACTAGTATTTAATATGCAACTGAAATGCTTCAGTCTTATAAATGAAATAGTAATTAAGCTGGATTTATTTATTTATTTATTTATTTATTTATTTATTTATTTATTTATTTATTTATTTATTTGACAATATAACCACAACAGCCATTATGTCACATATTAGGAA